CAGGTTAAAAATGAGTTTCTGAACACTTAAACCAGTTGATGCACAACTTCTGTCCCTAGCCCAGAGCTCTAAGATGAAAATAAAGCCTAGCTTAGAAGAGCAAATACCTTGATATTTGAGCTACACCATGGTCCTCTGAGACCGAATCGTATTATAAGGATGAAAGAGTCAATATCCAACTTTTTCTAATCAGTGCTGCAATTTGATATAACACATCTGATCAGATTTTTTCCCCTGAAATACTGTAAACTCAGTAAAACACAATATAAATGCTGCAGAAACAGTTAAGATGGATACAGAGAAAAACACACAAAACCTAACAAAATAATGCTTTATAATTCATGATGATAGTAAAATGACCTACAGTAACCAAAGAAAACTATTTTCTTTTTACTTAAACTAAACAGCACATTACAGAAGAGCTATCTGGATCTAATTGTATATTTCCTCCATTTTTTTTACTTTAAAATGTGAAGATACTGACAGTCTTATGAAGTTATGTAACAGTCTCTGCCATAAACTGCTGGTACCCACACACTGGGAACAGAGCTGCATGCAAAAAAAAGACAGCAGATCTCTGGTACCTCAGCACCTCTCAATCTCTGCATCCAAAAATTCACCAGAATTCATCACTTCCTGACCACTCAGAGGTTTAGCATTACCTAAACCAGTGGTTTTCAACCTTTTTAGACTTGAGGGCCCTCTAGAGAGACTCACTTTCCAAAGCATCCCTCAGAAAATGTCAGGCTTTATTTTTTTATTCATTTTTTACTATGGAAAAATAATAAAGCAATTCTTTTGTTGCAAAGAACTCAAAAGACAACAAAAGGGCAGAAGGTTTTTAACACTATAGATTTCTTTTTGAAATCTCTTGGTTTATCATATAAATCATGTTTCTACATTTAACTGTGCTAACATTATGTGGCACTGTGTGCCACTCTTGAAAGGATCTCAGGGCACCCTCATTGAGAATCACTGGCCCAAGCCATTACATTAATCACAAACCTGCTAACGAGTTTCTGCTTCTGATTTATTCTCAAGCTAAGATGGACACTTGCATGAACATTTGCCAAATATGACACTTCATTTCCCATCATAACCACACTTTTCTGGCAATTAACTTGATCAGCAGAGAGGTCAGAAATGGCTGCAGTGGGTAGGCAGCTTGTTCAGAAGCTGTGCTAAAGTTATACCATTAGCCCAACAATAATGTGGATTTTTAAAAAAGGACAGAAAGGGGATAAAGAAAAAAATTGCAGGCACTTTCATCAGAACCAGGCTGTTTTTTTTGAGGAGGATGGGGCAAAAGACATTTCTCCCATCAATACTCTTCTTTTTTATTTTTCCCCAAATTCATTGTGATTTAGTAAATAGTTTGCACTCATAAGAAAACAATTTTCATTCTTGAAAAGAGCTCTTTCTTAATTGTAGTCCTACAAGGTTGCTCATCCTTTTTTAGCCAAAATAATTGGAAGGCTTTTAGTTTTGAATCAGAAATTCCAATCACATATGGCATGAACTCACTTACTATGCAGCTGAGCACACTTCTTGTCTCCTACAACCATTCCTCTTACAGCCGTATTAATTATCTTTTCAATGTAGGTATTCAACCAAGATAAAAGTTACCTATGTGCAAAAAAAAATCCCTCACCTGACATTCCTCAGATTCCTCTTCTGGAGTAACTGGAAGAATAGAAGGCTTTGAAGGTAATTTTAGTTCATATGACATAATACTCCACCTGCAGGAGATAGAAACAGCAGCTTTTAAAAGTTCTAAATCTCAGGTTTCTGATAACAAATCACAGAAGTCTCTTCTAGCTGTCAAAAAAAAAAAAAAGTGCCACAAAAAGAAAACACATATGAAAATGGGTCTTTCAGAGGATTTTAGCTTCCAGCTGTGCTCACATTGCTGCTACTTCCTACTCTCCCAGCTCTGGTCCGACACAGGCCAGGTGGTTCTGGCGCCATGTCATCATCGAGGGGCTTTGCAGCATACAGTCTGCAGGGAGCTGCACTAGAACCAGGTATCTGTAAACTGAGTTCACACTGCTGCCACTTCCTCCCCCCCCGCCTCCCCACCCTGCTGTGGCATGAGCACGGGCACACCTTTGAGCTGGTAGGGAGCTGCAATGAGGCCAAGCAACTTCCAGTTGTGCGTGTGCCACAGCTGGGGGGTGAGAAGGGGGTGGCAGGAGAGTGGAAGCAGAGGGGGAACAGGAAAAAGCAAAGGCATCACAGACAGTTTGTAGACACCTGGTCCCAGAGCAGCCTCTGCTACCAGCTGGAAGCTGTGCCCATGCCAAAGCTAGGGAGAAGCAGCGGTGACATGGGTGCAGCTCCCATCTGCCTGCCCCAGCATAGGCATGGGGAAAGCCCCATGCTACTGATGAACCACCAAAGCCACCCAATCCACACTGGACTACAGCTGGGTTGTTCTGGCCTACAGCTTATAAAAGGATGCTGGCCACTGCCTTAATGTGGCCAAAAGTTAGGTACAGGGTCCATGGGTGACTGGTGCCTCCTGAGACTGGAGAGCCACGGTTTGTGGGTTGCAGTATCAGTGGCATCAGGGTGGCAAGTGGCAACCACCTGCAGAAGCCAGCAGTGGCAGCGGCAGGATGGCGAGCAGCAACCACCCGCAGAAGCCAGTGGTGGCGGCGAGGGGAGGGAGGGTGGTGGCAAGCAGCGACTGCCCACAGAAGCCACCACCAGCAGCAGTGGCTGCCAATCTCAGGGGCAGCACATGTCCCCCCATGCCTCTCCTATGCCAGGGTCACTGTCTTAATGGGTCTAAGAGCTAGAAACAGGAACAATATGTAATTTGGCAGGAGGCACATGCATAACTTTATGTATAACCAACAAAAAAGGATTAAGTGTCCAGATTAACAAGACCGCTAGTTTCTCTGAACCTTGCTAAGGATCTTTGCTATGTGAACAAAAGCACTGGCATGCACCTCCTGTGTAAAACATCATAGGAGAAAAACTACTTTTAAGATAAGAACTTTTTCTACCAAAACCAATAAATGATCCCACCAGTCAAACTGCCTTTTAATTTGTTAAAAACACATTACCACCATTGCTATTACTTACCTGTCTAGCATTTTAGTGCTGGCACGTTCCAACTTCTCCAAAATCTGAGGAAGCTGTGTGTCATCATCACATGACCCTCCCCAACCAAGGACCCGGGCAAGGTCATTTCCAGTACCAAGAGGCAACACTCCCAGCTGACACTGAAATACAGCAACATAGCAAACCATTTACTCAACATAAAAAAGTGAAAACATGAACCAAGACATATGTTTACAATTTCAAGCGTGATATGTTAATTACTGAGCTGATTACTAACTAAAGCTTATAGGTCAAAACCTGCAACTCCTATTCAACACAAATTTTCCACCATTTTCAATGGGAGTTCTGAGTAAGGGTTATGTTTCTCTACGTCAATCATAAATGAATGATTCCAGCCACAAACTTGGGAAAGTTCTGTCAAACTGGCAGGTACACAATCTATTGTAAACATAAATTAAAACTATACATCATTGGCATTAGCAAATTCAAGAGATAGTAACTTTAGATTCACATATGGAGATTCAACATACTTGCATATCTCACAGTAAGGATTACTGGATTTGACCCTGTATCTACTATTTTATGGAAGGACAAAAGAACCCCGACAAAAATAAGTGCGCACACTTGCCTGTTTGTGCAAGCTGAGTTTATCAATTTCCGACAAAACCCAACCAACACTTCCATCTCCACCACATACAAGGATCCGGAAGTTGTCAAACTTCTGAAACAGCCTTAAACTGTAAAGTATATATGGAAAATGCAACTGATTAGAGCACCTAACCCCTGAAGAAATTACAATGAAAAATTCCTTGTTTATTGGGACTTACTTTTATAAATCATTAGAATCATGGTATGTAGATAAGCATTATATTACTACATTAAACATAACCAATATGAAGCTTGTTACAAACATTCTACTGCTTCTGCTATTTCTGGTAAACAATGTGTAGCATTTTACCCAGAAAAGTTTCCTTTAATATATCATGTTTTCAAGATTTTTTTTTAATTGGCACTTGTTAAAATGCTGGGTTAAATCATGAACACCCAACTGCTGTAATAAATCTTATCCATATCAAAGGTTTGAGGCACCATTGTTGTTACTAGGAGGTTTTCACAAGGAAAAAATTAAGTAATGACTCCAGTCTAACGTGACTTTTCTATATTGAAAGAAAGTTGAGATAAACCCTGCACATATGATCATCATGGGAACATAAGACAAACAAAATATTTTATACTGGGCCCTCAAACATAGTCTTGTTACTACCCAATGCGTATCTGAGCACTTCTGCACCATGGGTAACAGTGCAAAGGGAAGCATAAGTGGCTGTGTCGCTAACAACAGCAGCCAGGCTAGCAGTGGCAGCCAAGTAAGCAGGATAGTGGCTCCTATTTATGCACCCCAATTCTCCTCTCCCTGCACCAGTTCTGCACCCAGACCTGATGCCCCAGTTGCCCCCTTAGGTATGCTACTGGCTTCCACTACCCTCCAGTTCTTTCTTCTGTCCTCTGAGTCCTGGCTAGGTACACAACGAAGTACACTCATCAGTAACAAAGAAAAGAAAAATAAAGGAGAGAGTACAAGCAAAGAGGCAAGACTAAGAGAAAAGGAAAATAAGATGGCATGTCATACTAACCATGTTTTTTAAAATCAAAAACTAGACATATATGCACAGTTAATGCACAGTTACACAATTTTTTCCTTCCCTCTCCAAGTGTACTATAACGTACAATTCTGGAATCCATGAATGCTGCTGCTGAAATAGTTTTTGGGACTGCTGTGATGCCCCTATATAAATACAGATCTAAATACATAAAATAATTTGATAATATCTTGAAATCCCTTTAGAAGTTTGGGAGACTACTCTAAAAATGCTAGAACAAATAATGTGATTGGTTACTACATTTTACATTTTTACCAGTAGAGACCTAAATTCAAGATATAGTTTAGGTTTCAAATGCAAATGAGTTGTAATCTGAGCAATTTCCAGAAATTGGCACATCTCTGATCAGGATAGACCATGGACTAAAATATCATGGATATTACAAGGCAAGGGTTAGCTTGATTGGTAGATATGGCAAGTAGAATGGTGGCTGCCGTAACTGAAACTACATTCAGTGCTTCCATAATTACTAAATCCTTAACACAGAATTTTTGTTATTTAACTCCAGGCCATTCTGATATTGCCTGCTAATTAAATGTTTTGTTTCAGTGACAACAAATAAATCTATCTATTTGCATAAGTGTTAGAAAAACAAAGCCAAAAACAAATTATGTATTAATGAATATATGTGTAAAAATGTGTATTTATATGTAAACATATTAATTTAATATGCAACATGTACATGTGTAATACATGTGTATTAGTATACTAACCAACCATATTATAGAATATATTTATATTTAGATATGTCTTTATGTATAGAAATTCAAAAGGATATCAGCCATATTTGGCTTCTCTGTTACAACATATGTTGAAAGGGAAAGAAAAAATGTTTTTGCAACTATGCATTAAGTATAAAAAGGCACTTACACATTGTGTGTAACTGCTTTATTCAACCTGAACAGCACAGAGCCAATGAAAAATCTGAATAATATGTGTTTTTAAAAAATATTTAATCATTTCAATAAACCTCCAGAATAGATACTGAAATTTAGAAGTCTACTTCAGGTTTAATTCCATTTTTGTAGCATACATATATAATACACATGTACATACCTATGCGCGCACACACTTATTTGCCTATTCAAAATATATATTAGAAAATTGTAGAAAAACAATAAATAGGGGACAGACAACACAGTACCATACTATACTGAAGAGACTGCCCAATTCATTACCCTAAATGAGGTCCTCCATTCATTAAATCAAACACCTGAGCTGGATTTAGTGACTGTTTGAATCGACGAAGAAATTTTACTCCCTGATTATCTCCACTCTTTGAGTTAACAAAAACTAAGAGAGGGCTGGCACAGGATGGTGGGCAGGTAGCTTTCCAAAAACCTGTAAACATAATTAGAAAGAAGGAAATATGTAAGACTTTCTAACATGAGCACCACAAAAAGAATCTGTGCGAGCAAAAGAGGGAAAAGAATGAAAAGACAAATGGAATTCATTTTACCATGAATAATACATGACTTACACTTCAATTAGATTTAGCAAGAAGAAGAATATTTTATTCTACCTACTCTACCTTCTTTCTCCAGTATTCTCAATAACTACACTTAGCAAAATGTTGAAGAGAGTAGCTTTATTATTTTCCACAACAAAAAGGTTGTTTTAAAGTTTCAAAATTGTTCATCACAGATTATCACAACATGACATTTTCAGCGGTAACTAATATCTTTTTTATCTGACTTTTTCCTTTTAATTCTATCACATTGTATCCCACTGTACTTAGCTTGAATTCCTAGCAAATCAAAAACCCTCCATATATATATATATATAAATGATATCACATTCTTAAATAGCTCCCAGCTAAG